TTTTTCATCAAGCCAACACTCCTCTTCAACATCTGATCGAACCCCACTTGAACTTTCTCATCATACCTATAAATAACTGATGTCGTTATCATCTTTGAGTTGTTGATGTGGGTATAAGGAGTATATAACACAACAAGCGTAGTGAAGAGGCAAGAGGTCACTGCTGGTTTCTGTAGACAACCAGGCTTACAATTATATACCAATAAAAAAAGGGATGAATGATGAATATGTGCTTGATATCAATCTAGTTGGACAACAACAATCGGATAGGAACGGTTAAAGCAACTTTCGCACCAACGAACGAAGCCGTCAGAAGAGACATGCGGCTGCCAAGGCTCCGCGGGCCGCCTTGAACAGGGGACTAGTCGGGCGAAGGTGTCACCAGCAGAACGTACTGCTGGACTGCAGAGACTGCAACGTGAGTACTCGGTTACGATAAAGGTCGGACATAATCTGAGAGACTCCTTTCCCACCTACAACACTGGTCGTGGGCCTACCTAATAGACTTGGCTGGAACGCCATAAGAAGCTAGGGTCTCTAATAGCACATCCCCTAGGTCCGCTAACTCCTCTCTTGTGGAGCTGCGTATGTCAGTAACGGTCTGACGACTGACTTGGTTGCATGTAATTGCCACCATAGGGCAGATAACGGCTGCTGTTTGAGTTAATATAGGTAGCAGAATCTCGAATGTCATGGCATCTCGCCGAATACGATTCTGATCGACGTCTCGTTGGGCCTTGAGCATCCGCTTTTCTTCTTGTAGCTGACCGAGACGAGTGGAATAACGTGCGTCGATTTCTTCTTTATCTATCTGGCACTTGGCTATCTTCTCGCGAACATCGTCGAGGACCAGGCCAACAGCCTCGCGAACATTATTCAGAATTGTGTCACGTACAACACGGACATCATCAGGCAAGGCAAAATAACTGAGCAGGAGCATACAACAACAGAGGGCCTCCCAATTCCTAGCCTACCTGGCTTCTCGACGCACTGCCTCTTCACTCACTGTCCAAGGGATGCAAATCTCCCCATTGCGATACCAGTTTAATATATACTCGAAAAGAGCACCATCTCGATCGATAAAGACGGATGGTGGCGAGGCCACCTTTCCCGTATCATCCTTGGAATCGTTCTTTGACATCTTCCAATCCTCAGAGACCATCCTCGAGAGCATCGTATCGGGGTACTTGTCTAAGGTGGACTTCGTCACTTGGTAGATCTTCCCACCAACGCTTAAAGTGATGACATCAGACGACAGGGAGGAGGTCATAGATGGATGAAAGAATCTTTACGGTGACGTGGAAGATACAGAATAGTTAGAAAGCGAACACTTGACGAGGCATGAGACTGGT